GAATACCGGTACAACGTCTATCGAGAAGTATCTAGACTCCTCGAACTGCTAGGAGAAACAAGATAAGCGAAGGTTTACGAAGGAGATATTTATAACCGCAAAGCATCGACAAGTAAGTACTAACTACCGACGACCAGACCTACTGACTATACCTGCCGACTATACCTACCGACTATATCTGCCGACTACGTCTAAGTAACTATACTGAAACTTCATCTCTAGACTATAAGCAATCCGCGATAGACGAGAGACCTAGGCTATATACCGGACGATTTCCCGCGCTTATCCTTCGAGATAATTATCGACAATAGTCTGCTATTCCAGTTCTTTGAACGACCGTTAGTAAAACAGACTTATATAGCTCTACTCCTAGGATAGGTCGAGATAATTCAGTTCAAATCCGCCTCGATATACCGTAGGATGCTCGGTACTAAGGTTTAAGAGTCTGCTGAATCCCTTAAGACCCGTCTTACTAGTAGATTTAAGATAGCTATCGCGTGTAATAGCTAGCAATCCAGAGGTATGAAAACCTTATTCCTTACTATCCGGGTCTACTAGATTGACGACTACTAGGTCTAGTACGAAGGGATGCTTAGCTTTCTATATATTACTAGCCGTTATACTAGTAATCACCTTACGGAGATACTATTCGAAATCTTATAAGAGTTCGAGATTGAGTGCCGATTAACTATAATTACGTACGACAATGCCTCGAACAATAAGACCCTATACAATGCGATATAAGACCACTTGCTTTACTCTTCCTACTTCCTTCTAATATTCTATAGTGTTTCAGCGATTGATACTTGTTAAGAGAGGTACGGTATAACGGCTAGGAGGCCAGTAACGAGCTTAGAGGAAGGTACGGAGAGTAGTCCCGACTCGGAGATAGGAGAGGATAAGGAGGAGGCAATCGTAGAGCATAATCGAGCTAGCCGTCCCGAGCGATTTCCCTGCTTTGTATATACTGCCTAGCTTCCCTTAAAGGCCTTTTTCGACCGCCTAGGGCTCTGTCCGACTAACGACCTTTCCGAATACTAGGATTACGAGAAAGATCGGCAGATATTATAGAGGAGGAGAAAACAGAGTAAGCAGATTAGCCGCCCTTAAGCTAATAGTATGCCTTACCTCCTTCTGAAGGTAAGATCAGTCTCTACGGCCTATCGCCTGTTAACCTTCCTATTTTCAAAGTATGGTCGGCTCTCGTAGTCGGCAATTATAGTCGGTACTCGAGATTCCCTTCGCTGATTTCGATCCCTAGATCCGGAAACTTTGCGTCTTTATTAACTCGAGCTCTTAAAGGTTCGAGCAGTTTATCGACCTGCAGAAAGAGATGCTTCAAAAGAAGGAGCTATTTGCAAAGCACCGTCGGTAGAATGGCGTTCAAGATCGGATCCTAAGGGTCGTTCAAGACGTAAAGACAAGGTAGTCCTTAACAACGTTAATACTCGATCGCTTTAGCAGACTGCAAAGAGTTATCGAATCTTATATCGATCGACTCGACCTAAGTAAAGATATAGGTATCGATTCCGAAGAGTAGCAAAGGGTTGAGTACCTTATCGACCTTACGAAACTATTCGTAGCGGCGACAGCAACGATCGGAACAACGAAAGGTCCGACTATCTACCTTGTCCTCGTATACTACAACTAGCTTTTCGACATTCTAGAGGAGGCGATAAAGCGACTCAAGAATAAGAGGATACCTTGGAAGAAGGATGTATATCAGGCATGCGAGGCTGCTTAGGCTAAGCTTAAGAAATATTATCGAGATACCTAGGATCGATTTGGCGATTACTACGGCATTAGTGTCCTCCTTACCCCCTGCCTTAAGCGGAAGTTCTAGGTACGCGATGACTTTAGGGATAAAAGCTACTGCGAGTATTACGAGGGTAAGCTAAGAACAGAGTAGGAGAAGAGCTATCGTCTATTATCGAGCACTTCTACCTACGAGTTACGTAGTAGAAGTAGTCGGCATAAGGGCTAGATCGACTTTACTCTTAGTAGGAGTGCAGAGTCTTCTTAAACTCAACGACGTAGCACTCGTAAGGGTAACGAGCTTGCCGACTATCTAGACGCCAATATAGATAAAGGGGATCTATTCGAGGTACTAAAGATATAGTCTTCGCTTGAGCCTAAGTACCCTACTCTCGTACTAATAGCGCGGGATATTCTCTGTATTCCTACGGCCGGAGTTAGATATAAGCGCGATTTCAGTATCGCTCGACACCAAAGTCGTTTCAATCGCTAATACTCCGTATTAACATTCTCTGAACTAATGGTATCCCGTTTCCGCTACCGCGACGATAAGTACGATACTAGAGTTCTTATCGCCTACGAGGCTACAGAGGCTGCTTAAGCGCTTCTTAGTACTCTAACTTTATAGGAGATCCTAAGTAAAGACCGAGAGCAGACAAAAGATCTTATAGAACGGATCAGTAACTTAGATGCAATCAGCGATAATAAGGGAGATAGGGTAGAGGAGCCAAGGCGATCGGTACGCCTAAGCTTTAAGCTTGCGTAAGAGTACCTCCGGGATGCTACGAGACGATTATAGCGAGCTTAGTTTAAGCTTGTATAAAGTTTACCTGCCGACTATATTTGCCGACTATAGTACTTAAGTTTCAAAATATTACAAGCTGTAATCTAGCGTATATATTCTTCTATATTTATTCATTCGATCTAACTACTCTCTTTCTCCTCTTATCTATATCGGGCTTATATACAGTTTCTTTTCTAATACCTAGTTTAAATAACTTGCTCTTAGGGCACTCGGTTTCTAGGCTTTTTCTTTCTGTTTACGAAAAATCAATACCTAATAGGTACGCAATACCTACTAGGTATCGTAATACCTACTAGGTTTGTACCTAACCCGATAGGTTGGGTTTACCTAGCTAAATACCTATACCTATTAGGTATTGCTAATACCCAACCTACCCTACATACCTACTAGGGTAGGTTGTACCTATAATGAGGCCTACTTATTGCGGCTCGCGTAGTTAGGGTATACGGAGTTAGTCGCGATATATCCCTTCTTCTTATAGAAGTAACATTCTAGGTTCTCGTACCCTTGTACCGTCGACGTCGCTACGGTCGATAAGGTACGTCTATCGCGTAGGGCCCTACTCTTGCTTCGATCCTATCGATCGTCGTAGCTTCGTAGTACGTCGCTCTCGGTACGCTTACGTTTGCCCTACGTACTATAGTCGCGCCGATAAGGCTCGTCCTTAGTACGGACTACTAGCGCGTTGTCTACTTGCTCGAGGCGCCTTACTAGGTTTACGAGCTCTACTCGCGTATTAGGGATAGTATATCCCTTAACGATGTCCCTACGTAGCGACGGCTTTAACTTAGCGAGGAAGTAGCGTATTAGCTACGCCTACGTATAGTTAAACTAGGCTTCTAGATAACTAAGCTACGCTACGAAATAACGGACGCTCTAGTCCGGGCCTTAACGTACCCTTTTATACTCGATTATTACGCCGATCTAACGGTTCGACTAATCGCCGATAGTATTACGGAGCTATCCCTTAAATTCCTCTTAAGTATAGTCCTCGGAGATTACGTCGGAATACTCGTCGTACTACGTCTTCTACGCTTCGCCTACGAGCTATATAATACTATATAGGACCTTGTCTTAGTCGGTTCGATATTCTCGGAGGGCGCTAAGGAAGACGACCTCGAGGTACCTAATAAAATTATAGTACTCTTTGTCGGTGTCTCCTTTAAAGGGCTTTAGTTCCCGAATCTTAGGACCCCTATATAGAGAATACGAGCTACGTAGTAGGTTCGTAGCCTGTCTGTATACGTCGCGTAGGTCTATCGACCTAAGGTCTTCTTTAAGCCCGTTAAGAAGGTCGGGCTCGGCGTCGTCGTCTATAGTAACTATAATAGTTAGGATTAGTACTCGGCCCTAAATTTGTTCCTATAGACATTAGTTTTCCTTTTCGAGGGCCTAAACTTCTAACTCTATACGGAGACGCTAATTTGCCTCCTCGAGCTGTATACGTCTAGTATACGGGTCGGCTACATAGGCTTCCGGCTAGGTAGGAGCCTCCTCGAAAGGAGTCTCCCCTAGATTCCCGTCTGCCTAGGCACTTATAGGGCCCGATACCGTCTCCTCGGAAGGTTAGGTATCTTCGTTTACTTCGCCGATAACGTAGCCCGCCTACGCTATAGCTGCGGTACGGTCGCGTTGTTGTCGTAGGGCTATAGGACCTCTATAGATTACTACCCTTTAGAAGGATAGAAGAATTAGAAATATAAGAGTAGGGGTATATAGTAATATATAGAGCGTCCTTCCTACTACGTAGGAAAAGGAACAAACTAATTCTTATCCTTCGGAAAGGAGGGAGCGGCGTTGTATAATATACCCCTACGCTAAGTATACGTAGGCGCTACGCCGCGTAGGCGGTCGCCCGATAGCCGATCGCCCGACGACTCGGATCGTACTGCTCCCGTAGCCCGTCCTATCTTAGGCTAACGTACCTTAGACTCAAATACCTAACCGCCCCCTAGGGCTATATACCTCTAGGCCTAGCTATTACAACGAACTTAATACGAGATATTTAACAATATATATACTACTAACTATTAACTTTTCGGCTTAGTTAGTATAGAGGAGATTGTAGAGTAGTATTCTACGGTTATAGACAACTAAAAATCATACCTATATAACCGCTAGTTCTAGTATAATAGCTCAAAAGTAAACCTAGTACAAAATCTAGACTTGTATTTAAGGAACCTTATTTTCTATACGAACAACTCGCTCCCTAGTAGCTAGAACGTACTTATACCTCTTCTATATATCCTTAGCTATCTTGTCCTATAGTATATCTATCGCTTTGTCCGCCTTCGCCTCTATATCTACTATCTAGACCTAGTAAGGCTAGTATATTCTTACTAACGGCCTAGTTATATATATTATTACGCTACGGATATAGGACATCTCGCTCTATACGACCCTGCTTATTATTAAATAGGTTATTATTAGCAGTAGTAAGCTGGATAAAGTTATATAGCGTATATAGAGTATATACCAATTGTATCTGTATAGCCCTATTATATCGAGGACGCTTCTTAAGTATATAGAACCGTTGTTTTAGTACGCTAAACACTCGTTTAACAATATTGCGTAGTAAGGAATACCGTAGGTTAAAGAGTTCCTTCTTATCTATTAGCCGTAGATTAGCTTGCTTTTTACCTATATACTCTACTTTACCTCTTAGCTATAGCTATTCCTTTAGATAGTAATGTACTCCGCTAGAGTAGGGTATTATTGTTATACTTGTTAACGTATAACTAGTATCCGCGAGATAGTACTTCCCCTCCGGTAGGTTAGCCCCGAAACCCTCTATATCTCTAGCGTAGAAAAGTACTATAATATCGGCTATAGAACCCTCCTAACCTGCTAGGACGTATATAAAGAGTATATTAAAGTCTACTACCGCTAATACGTTCTAAGAGAGATTACCCTTATAGTTTCTATATAGCTTCGTCTCCCCTATAACGAAGGCTTTAATATAACTACTATCTAACGTACTAACGCAGTCCCGGAAGAATAGGAAGAACTTAGGGTTTCTTACTATTCTTTATAGTATTGCCTCGTAGTCTAGCTCTTTTACTACCTCCGGGTATATAGACAAGACAGTAGCTATTAATATATAAAAGCTATCGCTAATTGTACTAAGCGGCCGCTTAAACAGTATTATAATAGTACGATAGCTACTCCCTTATCCTATAATATATAAGAAGTGTATTAACTTCTCGGTAGTAGTAAGAGTACGTTCCGGTTATAATCTATAACCTATTAACCTCTCTAACAATGCCTCGAACGTAGTAACGTTTATACGTATAAGACTATATATCTCCGACTCGTACTCGAGGTAGTATACTGTCTATACTATACTATAGTAAGACTCTTTCTATATATTACGAGAGAGGTATTCGGCGGCGTAGGAGGTATATACGATCGCGGCTATAGTATATATATCGTCCTCGGAATCTAACGGTATAATAACTACTCTATAGTACGTTAGAGGGTTGAAACAGCGGAAATCGATAGTATATAAGCGCAATATAGCGCGAGAGGTATATTAAGAATGTCTAAGGATTTGGCTACCGGATTACCGAATATAGAAAAGCCGGAGGATAGCTTTATACAGCTCGTCTACACATTATTGAGAACGACTACAATGCTCTATAGCACCGAAAACGAGAGACGGACGATATAAATGTATATAAGAAAAGTAGGGTTAGCGTTTAATAGACTATGTGTAGATAGTTCCACTACAATCGGCGTTCATTAGAGCATTTCAGATAATATATATAACGCTGTATGTTGGGGCCGGAGGCTATTGAACAGCCCCTAAGGTAGGTACCTTACCTAACATCCCAATTCCCTCCCTCACACCAGCCACAACGCCATCAAGAACCACACCGACCAAGAACGCCCGATCTATTCTACAATTCATCCTTCTCCTCCTCATCCTTCCCCTCCTCCTCCTCCGTAGTCTCCGTACTCTTCCCCCCAGTTTTCTCTTTCCCACTCGCCTCCCCATCAGAATTTTTCCCCGCGCCCGTCCCCCCTTCCATTTCCCGTCGAGTCACATCTTCTGCATTCGCCAAATCTTGTTCATTCGTAGGAATTTTTTTCGCGTCTTCGGGATGGAGGAACGCCGCGGCGTCGTCCTCACCATCACCTCCTTCCCAACCTTTGACATCACCAACTCGTCCCTCATTACCTTCTTCATCGTCTTCTTCGTCCGGGAAAATTTTGACTTTGGCAGCATATTCTCGAATATTGGAGACAATATTATCGTGTATCAAATGTCCCTTTCCGCCTGCGACGCGAAGAATCAAGTCATTGAGAGAGGAACGACCGAGAATGTCGACGTGATCGGCAGTATTGGGCCCACCGCGAGGGTTGAAGCGGTCGGGTTCGTGAGGCATTTCGTAGGCGACGATGGGAATGTTGGCGGGGTTGTAACGTTTGATTTTCCAGCCTTTGTTGCACATGTAGCCGGTGCTGAGGAGGTTGACGGTGCCGTCGCCTTCGCCGAGGACTACGCCGTGGTCGATTTGGCCGTCCGGGGTGGAGATGGTGGAGTCTGTGGGTGTGTTGTGTTAGGTGGTTGTTTTTATTTTCTTTTTGGGGGGGTTACTTGAGGGGGAGTTATGTTAGACAAAAAAGAAAAAGTCATACCGATCATGATAGCAGTGTCGTTCTTGGCGTCCATTTCTTCTCGATAGTAGTATGCTCGCTCGGTTGGCTTTCCAATGCCGTAGAAGCAGAAAATCTTCATATCTGGTGCAATGGGTAGTCTGGTCTCGAGTGGGTTCATCCACTTGGCAGGAATCATAAGATTGTCCTCGACTACCTTTTTGCTGTGTGCTACACCACGGCTGTAGCTGCTTTGAATCTGATCGACATACCACTGTTCCGTGTTCTTGATCAGGTAGTCAATGGCGCCATCCACAGACATGTTGCCTGGAGTTTGTGTATTATTCACTTTCTTGAAGTTCAGGAATTTGCCAAATGTGGTGGTCTGGTTAGTAGTGTCATCAGGGGCCCCATTCTCATCACCCCAGACTGCTGTGCCTCCTATGGGTAGCATGGAAGAGATGCCAGGCATTGCGCGGAAGATCTCAGCTCGTTCGGCACGAGAGAGGAACTTTTCAAGGCCATAGACAGCCAGAGCGTTCAGCTGGACTGTGTCTCGCATCTCGCCACTGAGCACAGCGGGCACGTCTTTGAGTGCGCCGAGCATACAGCCGGAGATGTTGATCCACGATTCGATATGGTCATTTACCCAAGAAGGTCCTCCGTTGCCATAGCCTTCCGCCTCGACCCATCTGAGAAAGTAGAATAGTACTTGAGATCCCATGGAGTGAGAGAGTAAGACAGACTTCTCGCCCGACAGGTGCTTTGCAATCTCGATGTGGTTCTTCAGTCGCGTGAAGTACTGATCTCGGATCTCATAATTCATGTAGCTCATACGCCAATCGTATGCTGCAGTGAAGGCATTGGTCGGATCGTAACCTATCGTCGCGAGGTTCTCCAGAATCTTGTTCCATATCCAGTAGCCAGTAATGAAGAAGTCGGCAGCATCGAAGCCCTGCGAAGCCCGCAGCTTCACGCCCGGTGGATCCAGCCCAGTCTTCTTATCGAGCATGATGTGTTTCTTCCAGCCTGGCTTATCCAGTACGAGAGCTCTCATCATGCTCCATGAGCCCCATAACCTCTTTCTGAAATACTGCCTAGACCAATCTTCAGTGCCCCAACTTTCGATGCCTGTAGATATCACACCGGGTATCATGATGACAGGATATTTGGCCTTGATTCCCTCATTACGAGCATGGAGACCGACAGCGAAAGAGTCGTAATCGACAGCTTGTTTTTCTCGAGACTATATAGAAGTATACCTTTAGTCAACCCACCCGCTCCGTGAACAAGACGGCAAGTTGGCGACACGAGAGGAAGTCTCACCTGTAAGTCCTGAACATCGCGAATCAAGCCTGTGGGCAGCACGTCTATCAGGCTGTCCAAATTCATGTCCTCCAGCCCTGCCATCGCAGCCAGTTGCTCCAAAGCGCCATCTCTACTTGCGAAGAAGCCCGCTGCGAACAGCCCACCGAGCAGACCCAGCACAAACACCCACGCGTGTCTCCTCTTCTTGCCTTTCCCGCTCTTCACTGCTGCTTGTTTCAGCTCGTCGAATTTCTCCGTCGTCAGCACGCGGTATGCGCCGGGTCTCTTCAACGCTTCATGCGGCGCTGGTGCAGGACTGCTGTCCCGTGATGCAGGCGGCGTGGCATCACCACCGCCAGTGCCAAAAATGCGCCTCCGGAGCGACGACATGGTGGATGGCGTGGTGTTGTAGTGAAAGTGTCAGTCATTGAAAGCAGACGCGACAGCGCAACATTTGATTCTTCTGGATCACTTGTGCGCTCAGTAGAACTGCCTGGTACTCGCGACGTCACTGCTGCTGTCCCAGCGGCCAGTCGGGCGTCCTTTGTGCCGTTCATAACCTCCTACCACCATGCTGAAAGCGCGACCTGTTCCTGTCCTAGTACTGGCATCATCTACACTAAAGGTACCGGGCTACTTAAGGTTTTACATCAGTTCTGTCTACTCTCGTCTACCCTGTCGGCAATCCTTCGCATGTTACAAACAAGAGGAGTTTCACCACGCCAATGAGCAACTCCACCGAGGCTGCCAAGGAAACCAACAAGCCGTCTCAGAAGAACGACGATGACATTCGATACATCTGCTATGGCGAGGAGAAGGAGTCCCCTTGGTTACCTGCTATCAAGCAGCTGATCTCCAAAGATCTGTCGGAGCCATATAGCATCTATGTGTATCGATATTTCCTCTATCAATGGGGCAAATTATGCTTCATGGTGTGTGTTTGGGACATGTGAAGATTTTCCTTACTTGACGTACTGACGCTGATAATTCTTCTATAGGCCATCAATTCCAAAGATGAACTGGTCGGAGTCATAGTCTGCAAGCTCGAGCCTCATCGAGGAGGTCCGATGCGAGGCTACATCGCCATGCTTGCCACCAGAGAAGATCAACGAGGCAAAGGCATCGCGAGCAAACTCGTGCGTATGGCGTGTGACGAGATGATTGCAGAGGATGCAGATGAGGTGCGACCGATGAGAGAAAACCCCCCCGATTGATTATAGCTATACCGTTGATTCTAACAAAAACAAAAATCACCACCAGATTGCTCTCGAAACAGAAGACGACAACATCCCCTCCCTTCGCATTTACGAGAAATTGGGCTTCATCCGAAGCAAACGACTACATCGATACTACCTGAATGGAAACACAGCCTACAGACTGCTATTATATCTCAAAAGTGGCATTCCCAATCGTCCAACATTTCCGCCTGAATACCCACCACTAGGACCTGGAGAAGCGGGATATCCAGTTCCTGATGATCCGAGAGCGGCCCTTATGAATGAGGATCTCATCGAGAGGCAGGTTGCGCAGCTGCGTATCGCAGATGTGTACGACGAGAGACATGATGTGAGAGGTGGTGGTACGTGAGATTTAGCAGGCAGGCTCTCTTTATCTCTCAAATCATGTTTCGTAAGAACTTTCCCCATCACGAGTCTGCTTTTTGAGTAGAAAACGACAGCGTTCGATGATTTCTGTACTACCTACCTAGTGTTTGTTCCTTCCAAAGAGAAAAAACGCAGCTACACGTGATACTATGCCTTGACACACTAAGCATCTCATCACATACTACTAACTGATGGCGGAGCAGCGTTCACATCGCCCCGTGTAATCGGAAGCGTTTCCCCCGGGAAATGTTTTGTGCAAATCGCTGACTGAAACTTGGAGCGTGACTACAAAAAGGCCTGTCAGAGACAAAATCCGCCTTGTCTACCCCAAAAAGGTCAAGATCTGAATGCGATCGATGCAAAAGGAAAAAGAGGGAAAGAGGGAAACCAGCAAAAAGATGAATCACGTGATCTCCCGACGCGGGATCGAACCGCGGGCCTAATCCGCATTGGGTTAGCGCCATTCTGTTTTTAGAATGCATGTGTGGTGCTTACCTCAAGATGACGTTGTGGTGTGGTACAATTACAGTCTTGCGCTCTTCCAGCTGAGCTATCGAGAGTGGCAGTGCTGGGCACTGGATAGCCTGATTTGATTGGAGCAGCCGGAATTTTGACCGTATATAATCTCTATCCTTAGTGAGCTACGCTTGAATGTCGCCTCGTTCACTTTCAAGTTCTTTCAATCTTGATACTCTGTTGGAAGTATTATGGTTCTACTACCTACCTACCTGAGGTATATCTAGGTACCGATTGCTGCTGCCATAGCGTAGGAAGCTTGCGGATTGCATTTTCGGCTCGCACTCTGGGTCCCCAAGGTAGGTTAGAGAAAGCTTTTCTTGAGCATACACTATAATTCGCAGTCGATAGCTAGCCTAGCTATATACGCACGTTGCAAAACCGATGTTATACTCAATCCTTCCCCACACCTTCGGTATCCTCAATCTTGAAGATATACTTGACAGCACTCGCCTTCCCATCCTTGAGCAGACTCAAACCCTTCTCAACTCCTCCCAAACCACCGGGAATCACCTCTTGTGGCTGTGCCTTGAACCAACCCTCTTCCAGGCCTCGTGTGATCAACCTCGAATATACGAAACCCAAATCCTTCATACTGCCATGCACATCTCCAACAGATGTCATTGTCTTTTTCACAGTCTCTGGAATTCCAGGATAGTCCTCGGCGGGCAATACCAGAGTAATATTACCATTGGGCTCGAGCACTTTTGCAATGTTTTGCCAGCTGGTACCATCCGTCACAGCATCGTATGCGTAGTATAATTTGGCACCTTGGAGTGCATCTCTGATACCTTGCGCTACCGCCTCATTGCCGTTGCGGTAGTCCACAATAGTGTCGCCCTTGGAGCGGTCAATCAACTTTTCTACGTGGGCTTGTGCGCGACCGGCGACGATGATTTGGGGGTGGATGTTGGCTCGCTGGGCAAATTGGATGGCGTAGGAGCCGACTGCTGAGGAGCCGCCGTAGATGACGAGAGGAATGGGCTCAGTGGCGGGGTTGGTGGGCTGCGGGAGGTTGAGATTCTCGGAGGCGAAGAGACCCACTGCTGCTGTCAAGGCTGCGAGAGGAATGGCTGCACCTTCTGTTTGACATTCGTTAGTCACTACTAGGTGATGCTTGTGCAACGATCTTACGTCGCCTTACCCTCGAAAGTGGTCCTCTCTGGGAGGAAGAACGTGGTATGGTCTGGACTCAAGCCGTACTCTGCGTAACTGCCACCTGGTTTGAAGCTCTCATGATATGCAGCGACTCTGTCGCCCTTTTTGAACTCCGTCACACCCTCTCCTACCTCGTGGACATAACCACTGAAATCGTCGCCTTGGTTCATCACAGGAATCTGTGGCATCCATTGTGGTATTTTCCTGGGAAAAAGAGTGTCAGTTCTGCTGAATGGCCCGCCTGACCGACACACAGACACACATACCAGTCTTTTGGGTTACTGCCAGAATACACAATCTTCGTCACAACCTGATGCGGTCCTGCTTTCGGTATCGGCGCGTCCCTAATCTCGACCTTGGGTCCTGCGTGAATGATAGCTTCCTTCATATTGCTCTGCTGTAAAGTAAATCTTTCTTGTCTTTAGTACAGTACAGGTAGAGAGAAACAGAAACAAGTTAATCAACAGTACTTGACCTTTATGCCTCGATGCTAAGAGCCTGACAGAATGTCGTCGAGTCGCAGGAGATGTGCATCGCCATTATTAATTCAATGTAATGCCATCGAGTATTATTCATCCACAAGTTCGAAAGTCCCACACCTCCACCACAATGTTGTTGCGGGGAACGGAGCGGGAAAAGGACAGATCCGTGGATCGCTGGTCTCAGGTGGGAGCCATCTCTCAAGCTACATGTACCTCCTACTACCTTAATATATCAATACCTGAATGATCACGTCTCCAGAAATACATGTATGATCAAAGCAGTCCAACTGATATCAGGATAAAACCAACGTTCGACCTCACGCGGCAGGCATCAGGGTTGCGAATGTAACCTACCCATTCACTACAGGGACGTCGCTCCGTGTACCTGACCGATAAGACAGCTCAGGTCAGATGTTGTGTTGTACTGCATACGGCACTTGACCGCAAGACAGCGCACAGGCGTTTGTTTCATGGAAACTTTCGATGTTGTTCCTTCGCCGGATGAGTATTAAAGGTATGCCCTGCGAAATAAGTCACGGATGCGGCAGGTGGTGAAGGTCTCGGCGAAAGCGAAGAATGTGCCACAATGCTTGACTACCTTAGACAGACAGACTCGCGGGCAGAGTATGAGTGAAGGACAGACAGAGTTTTGCTAAATGGACATCCTAGATTCCTAATGGCAATCCATTTGATATTGACTTCAGAGCCCTTGCCAGACATGACACCGCTACCACCGTAGGACCCATGTTCTACGAAAATTTTGATCATTCGTGTTGATGAGGGTTCTACCGTTCTTCTGCCTCTTCGCCAAGTTTTGCTTATGATAAGCCGCAGTGTCAACAGGGAGCCTGTCGATAGGAGGGAAGAGGTACCTAGCACTTGGAATAGCAACGCAGCAACGCTCGACTGTGGAATCTGTTATTCACCATCGGCATCTGAACCTCGTAGAGATGTCAGATCTGGCCCGAAAAACAAAAAGGAACCCTCGCTGTTAGCGGCTCTTGCTTCTCCTTTGTTGAAGTTCTCTGAGTACACAATAGGTAAACCTTCAATGGACGGCGTCTCGCTGCATACCTGATTCGGACGCTCAAATGTCTCATGGTAATCATATGAGTGCTACCTCCTAGGCTCCTACCAGCAGATAAGAGCCACGACTCTGAGGGAGATCCCGAGTGGCCAGTCAGGGTCCTCCGTCCTAAGGTAGTGTGGTAGGCCACCTACTCACACGCCAGGGCTAAGGGCAGACCCCAAAATGTCTAGTCGCAGACCCCATTTCTGAGTCATCAAGTTATTACCGTACCCTTCCGCTGTAATTCTACCCCCCAAAAAACAACGCCGCTCCTTCGCTCAGGCCTCCGCTTTCTATACCTACCTCTAAGGAGTTCTCTTCCTAATAAATGCTCAGTACCTCGGGGGTACCGAATACCTCGGGGGCACCGACCAGATTGCCCCCCCAACCCCCCAAGGGGGGCTAAGAATCGAGAGGGGTATCCTTCGGGGTGTAATGTGAAGTGAAGCTACAGAAGGTAGCTACTAGGAAGGTAGTATCGTAAGGGTACGGTGATAACTTGATGACTCAGAAATGGGGTCTGCGACTAGACATTTTGGGGTCTGCCCTTAGCCCTGGCGCTACTCACAACGGTCGCCAATCGCGCTCGCCAATGATGTTGGAGATAGTTTGCCAAGAGTAGATAGCGTGTCTTGGACCGGTCTTGAACCGCATGTCAACCCTAGTAAAGTCGAAGGTGAGAAGTACGTCCATCAGTCCATCTACGAGACTCCCGATTTATAGGCCAGGCCGGAGCCCATCCCTTGCGTCCATCCCGCCGCCGCATGCCCATGCCTTGCACTCTCTCGAGACTTCGCGGTTACGACAAGTCAGGTTCACCAGAATCCATGGTTGAGCCCGCTGCGAGCCGAGCATCATCCGCCGCAGAGCGTCTTGTCTGTACCTCTGCCAAGTGCTAAGCATAGCCACAAGACTTTACTCGGGCTGGGCAAACCTGTCCTCGTGAACGGAGTGATCCTGAAGGCGTACTATCAACGACCTCCTTCCCTTCGTGGAGTGATAGCCGTCTTGGCCCTGAGGTTGAAAGTGGCAAGTCATACTACGGTAGCATGCAGAAATCCTCTGGCTGTATGAGCGCGCGCGAGGGCTTTTCCATACAACGGACACTAGCCAACCATTTGGGAATGTTGCGATAAGGGTCGCGTGCCAACCGCGTGCTTTGTGGAAATCCCGGTTGCGGATCTCACCCTTTAGCAACCGGATCTGTTCACGCTGCGGCTGATGCGATCTATATGAACAATGTCGTGCGCGCCATGAAATACCTGCTTTTTCTCTCCTTCAGCGGCATTTGGTGCTTCAGCTCGCAGTAGTGACTACAGCCCCTGTACGTCCAACGGCCCCGTGGCGACCATTAAAGCTACCGACATCGTATCTCGACCTTCCTTTTGGTCAGCTCATCAGGCCGAACCTCAGCAACCATGAGCGCTCCCCTAGATCAAGATCTGTATGTGATGGCTGAGGCTCGCCGGCCTAGCGTCATCTCCGAATCCAAGCAAAAGGCAGCCCTCTATGGAGCCAAAGAGTGCGACACCGCCTCGGCCTCGGAGGTGGGCCGCACGACTGCCGATGGCGAGGAGCCAACCATGGAGGAGATGAAGACACTGCGCCGTGTCAGTGGCAAGATTCCATGGACTGCGTGGACCATCACGTTTGTCGAGTTCTGCGAGTATGTGGCATCAATGAAGCTGTTCTCCTCCCACGACATGCGCTAACCCCAGCATTAGACGTTTCTCGTACTATGGCACAACTGCCGTGTTCGTCAACTTCATCCAGCAACCGCGCCCATTTGGATCCAGGACGGGAGCTGTCGTCGAGAATGACAGTTGCTACCTCGCGCCAGGGTGGAGCGTGGACGACTGCAAGCAAGCGGGAGCTCTGGGACAAGATCAACGAGCCGCCACTGGATTGACCACCTTCAACCAATTCTGGGCCTACACTATGCCTCTGCTCGGTGGGTACGTCGCAGATACATATCTTGGTCGCTACATGACGATTCAGTACTCCATCGTGGCAGCCATCATTGGGCACATCATCCTCATCGTTTCGTCGATCCCCGCTGTTATGGACAACCCACAATCCGCCCTCGGTTGCTTTGCTGTCGGTCTTGTCATCATGGGCATAGGAACTGGTGGTTTCAAGAGTAACATCTCGCCCTTGCTCGCCGAGCAGATTCCCCAGACTCGCCCGCTCGTGAAGACGCTTCCATCTGGTGAGCGCGTCATTGTCGACCCACAGGTCACCTACTCTCGAGTCTTCCTGTACTTCTACATGATGATCAACGCAGGCTCGCTCGTTGGCGGCATTGGCATGGTCTACGCCGAGAAATACGTGGGATTCTGGCTATCTTATGCTCTGCCCACGTTCATGTTCTTCTTCGCGCCGATCGTGCTCATTCTCTGCAAGAAGCACTACAAACTGACACCTCCCACGGAATCCGTGCTCTCCAAGTCGTTCAAGGCTCTGAGCCTTGCGAGCAAAGGATGCTGGTCTGCCAACCCCGTTCAGACCTACAAGAACTTCCAGCGTGATGACTTTTGGGACAAGATCAAACCTAGCCACCTTGGCGCCAGCGCGCCAGCTTGGCTTCGAGGTGTGGACGACGTCTGGATTGACCAAGTCGCTCGTGGTTTCGGCGCTTGCAAGGTCTTTTTCTGGCTGCCACTGTACTGGCTCGCCTACAACCAGATGGTGAACAACTTGACCTCCCAATCAGCTACCATGCAGCTTGGTGGTGTTCCCAATGAGTAAGTTGATCCTAACGACGCATCTCAATCACAATGGCAAATGCTAACTTCTTCAAAGTCTTATCAACAATTTGAACCCCTTGACATTGGTCATCTTCATCCCCATCTTCGACTACTTCGTGTACCCAACTATCCGCAAGGCCGGCCTCCATTTCACTCCTCTCAAGCGTATCACATGGGGTTTCTTCGTGGCCTCGGCAGCTATGGTCAGCTCTGCTGTGCTACAGTACTACATCTACAAGCTATCTCCTTGCGATGACAGCGACGTGAACAGTGGAGGCGCCGAGTGCAAGGCACCAATCAACGTCTGGGTACAAGCTGTGCCATACTGCTTGATTGCTTTCTCCGAGATCTTTGCCTCCGTTACTGGCTTGGAGTATGCATTTTCCAAGGCTCCCGAGAACATGCGAGGTCTGGTCATGGGTGTCAATCTGCTCCAGAACGCATTCTCTGCCGCTATTGGCCAGGCACTTGTCAGTCTGTCCGATGACCCACTTCTCATCTGGAACTACACTGTTGTGGCGATCCTGGCCTTTATCGGTGGTATTGGATTCTGGATGACCTGGCGCAGCCTCGACGCTCGGGAAGATGAGCTGAACATGATTGAGGAGACCAAGTACAAGGGTCGCGGCCACAGACTACCTGATGAAGAGGTGGAGGAATGGAGCGAGAAGCAACAAGGTGAGGTTAGCAAAGCCTCGTCTTCCTGATCCCAGCGTCTAAAATGAGCAGAAAATTAGCGCTCAAAAGATCTGATATACAATAGAGAAGATGATACCCACCTGATGATCCGCTTCACTACCTCCAAAAAGCAATATAGATCCTACTGAAGCTCGTCTTTTCGCTACCTGACAATCGTACAAGCCCATCTCAATCACTTTACCTGCAGAAAGAAAAGAGATTGATTGCTGCTGCTGTGTTTCGGAACAACTGGTTTTGATGAACAAGCACAACATATCTAACCCCTGCACATTCGTCTCACGTCAGTTTTCTTTCTCAACCGCAACCAACTCCCGACAATTGAGACATTCAGGCCCCCGACGAAAAAACGTGCCTCGACGAAAAAACAAAATCAATCTTGGGTACATAACATGTAGTGTTTGCTCATGTTCATTCCCGCATTGAGGCTAACTAAAACGCACATTTTTTCTCCAATCTTTTCAATCAATAATGGCAGAAAATAAATTGTTTGAAATTCTTGCCAAATTCACAAAACGTGAAGATGGTGTTGATCATGCAGCACGATCTATGAGTTTGAATATTATGGTAAGTAACAACCCTCCTCCTCCTCCTCCCCAGCAACCAACCAACCCCATTCGATTCCAATATTATTGCACTACAAAGCTCAAAAAACATTGGAAAAATCCAGGTCGTATCTCTCGCAGCAGCATGTGCCGGAGGAGAAGTGGTAAAACTCTACCGTCACGTCTGCGAAGGCCTACCCCTCGATGAGCAAAAACTCGTGCAACGTCGGATTAAAGAAGCTCTCATTAAGACGGGACATCTCTATGGGACGCCCAAAGTGATTCAAGCACTGTTTCCGCTGTTTCAGGATTTGAAGGATGAGGAGATTGATCAGTATGGGCCGAGGTGAGTTGAGTTGAGTTGAGTGGTTTTGGGAGGATTTGAGAAAAAGATGGGAAAAAAAAAGAAAAAAAAGGAATTCATTATATGCACGCATAATCATACACACACTCTCTCTCTCGAGAGTAGTCGTATGGATACGCATATAAAATCCAGAAACCTCACACTAAAAAAAAAAAAAAAACTTCACAGATACTCCTCCATCAACTCCTCCTTCCCCACCGCCCCCTTCCAACCCCCCCAACGCGCCCTCGCCGCAACCGAATTCTTCGCCAACCTCTGGGGAAATCCCTCAACCGCGCAAAAAAACCTCGAATACAATCTCAAATACTGCCCGGATTTACATTTTCTCGTCACAATGAAGTCCGTCCACCTCCCTTCCCCTTTTCCAACCCCCCCTTTTTTCTAACCCCTCACATGCACAGTCTAACCTGGCTCGTCTCTGAACCTGAAATTTTCACCGCGCCAGAAACTTGCATGCTCAACGGGTCAGCGATGATTTGTTCTCGGAGTGGAAGGCAAGCATATTGGCATGTGAGAGGGGTGGTGAGGCAGGGCGGGACCAAGGAACAAGCACAATTGGCGCAGGAGTTGGCGTTGGAGATTGCGGGGTTGTATGGAGTGGATGTCGGTGGGGTGGTACAATGGGAGGATTTTGAGTGGGAGGGGAGGGAGGGACATGTTTAAGGGTTGGGGGGGGGGGGGGGGGGGGGGGG